CTCGTCCTGCTGGCTTAATAAATTGTTTGCCATTAATAACAATAAAAATAGATAATCTCCGTATAACAAATTAATGATGTGCGCCAGCGACAGAGAGAGAGCCACGAGGACAAGAGAGGGCTGCGCTGTGGGGGTAGCAAAATATGAAAACTTTTCGCTTTTGCTGTTCATTATTACACTGGCCAACAAGACCAAGGAACAGGTGGAACATTAAGCGAAAAAATCATTCAATCAAAATGGAAACAAAATCTCTTGCAGGTGGAACATTTCCATGGCAAAATCTTTGATTGAAAGTAGTTCCTTATGCTGGAAAATAAACAGAATAAAGAAAATGTTGCAAAAAGAATTTATTTTCATTTCACTTATACTTAAACAAAACAAAAAGACAGATTAAGAAGGGTTGCCGATCAGTTTCACTGGGTTTAAGCTCTTAAAATATGCCATAGAATACATCCAAATACTATGCGATCCATGTACACTTGTGTGTTAAATATTCAGCTTAACAATCGATCTGATACTATTTATCCGTATGCAAAATCACACAAATATACCCAAAGAAATAAATCTTCAGTTCAGTCTCTGTTTGCGTTCTTTGTTGTCTAGTGTTGATGGAGTACCTGTCGGTGGTTGCAGCCCAGCGTTGCAGCAGGAGTCATAACCCAGTGACGACGAGGGCTTTGCCCAAAGTCAAGTCGAGTCGCCCCAGTGTCGATGCGGGCCCCGTGGACGTGCCACTTGCCGCAGAGTACAACTCCCCCAGGAGTCATGTAGTTGAGTACGGATTTGAAGTAAATTAAAAGTCACTCACACCCGGGGCATGTGCCTTTTTCTGGTCCAGGACCTGCTCTCTCTCTCTCTCTCTCTCTCTCCTCCTACCATATCGCACTTGAGTTCATTATTATGATATTTGGTGTCAGCGCCGTGCTGTGGCCAACCCTCCTTGACTTTCCCCAGGGCGTGGCCGTGTGTGTGGAAATGAAGAACGAACAAAAAAAACTGAAACTCAATTATAACAATATGCTCAGATTTTCCCTTTGGCCGCACGGCCAAGCAGGTGGTGGTGGGGGAAGGGGTTTTCAATTTGTTGTACCTCTGCCTTTTGGCTGTCTGCTACCTGAAGCAGACAATCAACCGGATCATCATCGCCTCGAACATCAAATGATGAAGGTTCCCAAAGACCAACTCCGACTCCTACTCCAAGTCAGAGCCATAAACTATGCCAATAACCATAACTATGAACTAATAAGGTCGGTTTGGGGCACTGGGGATCTTTTAACACAATATCAAAACAAAGAAAGTGGAGCAAGCGCTGGAGTTCGATGGGGGAACCAGAATCTCTGAAGAGACCCAAGAAATGCTGCTAATCATCGCACAATGAAATAAATTACAAACATTGTTTGTGCGATGGATGTGAGTCGCAGTACCAGTACCAGTTCCTATCCAAGTCCCAGTCCGATGGCTGACCCCTGAGCCATGGAATGCCTGCTGTGAAAATTGAAAAGCGTCCGAAAGGCAAATAGAAAACGAATCTCTTAAAGGGGCAAGGCGCAAAGATTAACACCGTCAAGCCGTCAAGAGTTGCTTCAGCATCAGCTTCAGCCACAGTCATGTTGCACGGTTACCCGAGAGAGCATTTATACGAGAGTGTGAATAAATTAAGGCATCAAAATTCATAATACAAACGATCGGTCCACGATAAACACTTTGATTAGCGCTCACCGCTCGAACCATCGACTCCCGCTGCGAAATTGAAATGGAAGCAACTGCAGAGGCAGCAGAGTCCCCGCTCCCCCCCCCCCCCCCCCCCCCCCCCCCCCCCACCCCCCGACACCCACACCCACACGCCCCCCCCCCACGCCCCCGTTCCCCCCCCTCTCGTGTCCCTCTCTTTCGACTCCTACTCCCCTGTCTGCCCGTCCTGCTCTCGCATGTCTTGCT